AGGAGTGGATGGTAATGTTGTGGTGTGTTGGAATTTATCAGTGTTGCTTGTGAAGTGGTGTGTGGTGCGTGTGCAGGGATGTTTGCTGGGAATAATATAATAGATAGCTCATTTAGTCACTACCAAAAAATCTACTCTCACTTATAATTAATACTAACCAAAATTAATTGCATAAACCTTAACCAGGAGTTCGTCCGACCACACACTGAATCCTACAGAATAAAAGGCCTTGACATATTCGTAAGGTGACTCAGAGACATCTTCCACGATTTCTGAGTATGAAAGAAACAAGAGACCTTCCAGACGCACTTCATTTATGTCTCTTCCAATCAATCGCTCTCAATACCCCAACAATACCTACAAAGACCAAACCCTTTTCAGAGACCACGGCAATACCCACAAACACATAACCCAATATCTTATAACCCTCCTCAGCAAATAGGGCATCAGAGCCCGTATTAAAGCCAACCGCCAAGACCAACGCCACCAAAAGCACAACCTAAACCGAAGTCAATAGATATCGATCCTAGAATAATAACGAATGCAGTAAACTACGCACATAGGTCGAATTTTCATAATGCTTGGAAAGGACAGAAAATCCAACCTAACAAATATACCAACTAAACAAAAATCCATGTAACTTCGAGCGTAGAGCGGATAAAACCCTTATCCAGAAACGTATGACCATTATAACAATCTCAATGAAAATTACTCTTCTGAAAATCCCGAAAACCAAACAAATGAACACGATTATCAGTACAGCTATGAAAACAACGACTCCTCATTCATTTTTGGGTCGAAAGGCCGAATTCTTCGCTGCCTTATTTTAATTGTAAAGCGGAGTGGTGACATAATAAAAGTTTTAGTGGATTCAGGCTCCAACAAAAACTGTATACAGCCAATCATGAGTAAAATAAAATCCAAAATGAAAGAACTTTTCGCAAATTCATTAAGATGAAGAATAGAAATCACTCATCATACATACGCCAACCTGTTTAACTTACCAAATATAAATATAAAGTTTTATCTTCTCCCTTTTACCACATCTTTTCACGCAATACTTGGCAACGATACTCTTAAAAACCTATCCGCAATCATTCATATCAAAGACAATTTCATGACCATAAGCAATTCATATCGAATACAATAAATCAATTATTTTTACAATACGTCAATCACGTCATTATTAGAGATAACCACATGAACAATTTCCAAAAATAAACAATGACATCAATAATAAACAAAAATGTTGATCTATTCTCCGACCCTAATGAAAATCTTATTTATATGTACTACGAAAGTCATCGCCAACATAAGAACCAACTCCGATACAGCAGTTTATACAAAGTATTATCCATACCCCATGTCTCTAGAGGAAGAATTGAAAACAAATACAAAATTACTGGACGATGGAATCATAAGGCCTTCCGTTTCCCATATACTCCACCATTTGGATCGTTCAAAAACGGGACGCATCCATCGAACAAAATACATGCTAGTAATAGACTACAGGAAACTTAACTTAATCGCATAGCTGATCGTTACCCAATCCCCGATATAAATGAAATTTTGCCACAACTTGACAAAAATAAATTCTTTTCAATAATATATAATATATGAAGAGCGGTTTCCACCAGATTCCATTAAAATAATCTTACATTGAGAAGACCGCTTTTACAGTTAAAAATGTTCAGTTTAAAGAATGCCCCAGCAATATTCCAACGAGCTTTAGATTACATTCTTAGAAAACATATTGGGAAATCCTGTTATGTTTATATCGACGATGTAATCATATCCAGCAAAGATAAAAAAGTCCATGCTCAACACATCCGTGAAATTTTCAAAACTTTACAAGACGCTAATATGAAAGTACAAATGGATGAGTACGAATTCTTTAAAAAAGAAACTGAATTTTTACTGCTTATAGTGTCTTCAGATGGAATAAACACAAACCTTCGGATACTATGGATGATTTATAAGACACTACGCAAAATTAACTAAACCTTTCACTACCCTTCTTAGAGGAGAAGATATAAAAATATCGAAAAATCAATCAAAAAAAAAATCATCAACTTAGACGACGTAGCTATAAAAGCATTCGATAAAATAAAAAGTGCATTAGTTTCAAGAGAACAAACACTAACATATCCCAATTATCATAAACAATTTCACTTGAATACTGATGCTTCGCAACACGCCATCGGAGGAGTACTCGAACAGGACGGAAAACCAATCAATTTTATTTTTAAGAATCAAAACAGGGAAAATTACGCAACAAACGTAACTACTTATTTGGCACAGCAAAAAATAATATATTTACCTATCACCAACCCCTAACGTACGCATTAAGCAATAAAAACGACAGCTCAACTTAAAAGATGGAAGGCCATCTAAGAAGAATATGATCATGAAACCAGATACAAACCAAGCAGAACTAACATAGTAGCTGACTATTTTTCTCGACCCTCCGAACTCAACTCATTAAAAATAGCAACGCACTCCGACGAAAGTTCAGGACACAATATGATACCAGCAACAGAGGTCCTTACCAATGTATCCAAAAATTAAATATGGCTACTTACAGGATAAAAGAATTCTTACGACTTCAAATTACCCTTTTCGACATACCACGGCCATACAATTACTAAAACACATTATACTACTGACAACCTATATGATCTGTTAAAACGACATTTAAACCCTTCTGTAATTAATGGCATATTTATCTCTGAAGACATAATGAGCCAAACCCAAAAATTCTATCCCATACACTTTAATACTTTCAAAATTAGATTCACCCAATCAAAAGTTGAGGACTCAAAATCATATGAACAGCAAGAAGAACAAATATTAGTTGAACATAACGGAGCCCATAAAAATGCAATAAAAAATAAAGGACAAATCATCAAAAAATTATACTTCCCCCAAATGCAGTCTAAATTTATCAAAACTTTTTTTGGTAATGTAGAATATGTTCAGAATACAAGTACGAGAGACATTTAAGCAAACCAGAGATAAAACCTACTCTGATTCCTGAATTTCCAGCACAAATCCGTCATATCGACATATTTATTGCGGAAAAGAAATTAGTACTTACAGCCATAGATAAATATTCCAAATACGTTCAGGCAAGAATAATTACAACAGAAGAAATATTTGGAATACCAGAAACTGTAATTATTGACAACGAAAAATCTCTCAATTCTGACTCCATAATTTTCATGCTAGAAGACCAATTAAGGATTAAAATATACAGGAGAGACACACAAGCAAGTTTAATGGACAGATTAACCGATTTCACTTGACTCTTGTAGAGATTTTAAGATTCTTAAAGACGGATGACATAGGTAGAAATTTTGAAGGATTACTAGATAGAACAGTTTACGAATACAATATTACAATCCACTCCACAATTGGACAAAAACCAATTGAACACTTTTTCGGACGCAAAGTTTACATAAACCCCGAACAATATGAGAAAGCCAGACAAAATAACATACAAAGACTGAAGCTAAAACAACACTTGGAATTTCATAGTAAGAACAGAACAACTTTCAAAGACTACTCACCAGGACAGACAGTTTATATAAAAAATAACAAAAGATTTGGCACCAAATTGACTCCACATTACAAAATAGAAATAGTTAAGACAACATCATCCAGAATTATAACAGAATCGGGCCGAGTGGTTCATAAAAGTCTTATAAAACGATAAGCAAAAAAAAAACAATAACATAATAAAAATACCAAAATAAAAAATAGTATAAAACAAGTAAGGAAGGGCTAAGTTCGGATGTAACCGAACATTTTATACTCTCGCAAAGTCAAATGGTATACTCGTTTGAGATTTCTTTGTGGATTGACTGATATTTTCGGTAGAAGGTCAACTATAGGCACTGGGGCCCACATATTTAGTACTTAGAGGCTTGAACAGTTTTGGTTCCATTTAGACAATTTTTGGCCGCAAGGTGGCATACTTTAATTGCATTATTCACGCAAAGTTGTACGCCGATATGATCATTGTTGCTTGATTTGCACGTCCACTGTCTAATTTTGAACGCGGTTCCTATAAAGTCATCTTATACCATCTCAGAGATAAAATTTAATGTCTCTGTCGTGTTTAGTGCTTGATTTATCGCGCTTTTAGTAGTTTTTAACAGTACCGTTATATGGGGAGTGGGCGGAGTTGCCACCCGATTTCAACTATTTTCACACCGTCAATAGAAGTGCTAAAAGCATTTGCTTCTAGTGAATTTTGTTATTATAGCATAAGCGATTTAGGAGATATGCACATTAAACCTATTAGAGGCGGGACCACGCCCACTTTTTAAAAAAAAGTTTTAACTGCAGATGCCCGTCCCTAATGTGATCCTGTGTACCAAATAACAGTCTTGTATCTTATTGCGGAGCTTAGTTATGGCAAGTTATTTGTTTTTGATTAATGGCGTTTTGTGGGCGTGGCAGTGGTTCGATTACGCCCATCTGCAATACCAACCATCTTACGGTACCAAGAAACATGTCTACCAAGTTTCACAAAGATATCTCAATTTTTACTCAAGTTAGAGCTTGCACGGACGGACGGACGGACGGACAGACAGTCACCCGGATTTCAACTCGTCTCTTCATCCTGATCATTTATATATACATAACCCTATATCTACCTCGATTAGTTTTAGGTGATACAAACAACCGTTAGGTGAACAAAACTATTATACTCTGTAGCAACAGGTTGCGAGAGTATAAAAATAGATAAGAAACAAAAATTATGACAATAACTATAATAGAAAGTATTTTAGTTTGTTTAATTTTAAGTTTGACTGTACATTAGCTACGCCAACAATAACAACTGCCAATGTTCAAATCCTAGTATCCTCTTTTTCAAAAGAAATAACAGAAAATAAGCCATTGCCAGCAATATTACAAACACTGCATATCAGAATAGAAGAAATTTTATCTCTGAAATCAATTAAAAAATATCAGTCAAATGAGACTGAAAAAATGTCATTGTTAAGGAGGCACAATTATATTTACCTAACTATTAATGTAACATCTATATTGATTGTATTGTCTGTAATCATAATTGTTCTAAGTAATCTTAAGTAAAATAAACCTAAAATAAATAAAGAAATAAACTCCAACCAAGACACTATAGAAATCGGGATAAAAGATTTACCAAAATTGTGCACAACTCCATCGAACGAGGACGCTTGAATTTAAGGACGGAGGAGTTAACACATAATAAATTATCACAGTAGAATCATTAAAGCTTTATCAGATTCTGGGAATCTCAATTCATACAAATAAAACAGCTGAATCCGATTCGAATAATCAGCACGTTAAATTAAACCTTTAATATTTCACACGTACAAAACAGCCACACATGTATCCGGTGTAACACTGCTATTTACGCAAAAGCGCTGACCTTACGTATTGCACTCACTGCAATGATCCGGTGACATTAACCAACAAAAGTCGGTAAAACAACAAAAAAAAGATAAGTGCTGGATCCTTTTTATGAATTTGGAAACCGAAGATATGCCAGCCAAATTCATGGGAGCTAATTACCCGCCAATTTGGTAATTCGCTATTTCATCATTTTTATTTATTTGGGGAGCATTAACATTAGTATTTTCAATTCTAAATTCACCTCCTTTATTCACATATTTGCAAAGGTGCTCTTAATCGAACTGCGGAACTTAAGCTTAGCAGAGGTAAATATGGTACCTCCCAACGTTGTCAATGTCAATGTCTGCGATATCGATATTTTTAGCACAAAGAAATAATGTTAAATTCACTATGAGGATAAAATTATCTTGAGCGTTCCACTGAAAAATTAAAATGATTCGCATAACAGTCGCTGCTACTATCGAGACACAAATAAGACCAACAAAAGAAATTTACGAAAACTGCATAGAGAGTGAGGAAAAGTAAGCCAGCTTTTCATCCCTTCTCCGTACTGTTTGCTGGTTCAGAAGTTACAACGGGAGCACCTGGCGGGGATAACTGATTGATTGATAGAACTTAGCATGACAATTATATTATACTACAATTATTATATTCGATTGTCATCTTGTGGATCTGTAGATGGAACGAAATAATATAAAAATTGCGATTAAAATTCTGGGGTTGATCTTATAAAGGTGAAAATTTAGAATAGTGTATATTTTTCAATGCTGAATAATGTCAAAGTAAAAACAAAAAATTTTGTCCAAACAAAAAAAATCATATTTTGGGGTGGACCATCCTAAACATTTAGGAGTATAAAAATTAGATGTTGGCCAATTCTCTGACCTACCCGATTGGCACGCCATATTTCATTAAAATCGGTCCAGCCGTTTCGGATGCTTTTGGCAACCAATACCATCACACGAGAATTTTATATATTAGATATAAAAACCAATGCAACTAAAGATAAACGGTTTGAGCAACTGTAAATAAATGTTGAATTAACTAAATGTTTTTCTTTTAATATAGAGATATCCCTTTTATTGTAACTTACTGGAATTTTCTATATTGATACCTTGATAGTTAAAAGGAACATTAAAGAAATCTCTGGCAATACTGTTTATTTCCAAAATATGACCAAGGCTGTGTACCAAATGGTAACTTTTTTCTTTATGATAAATAGGAGTGACAAAATTTTCTATGGTGTAATTTTAATTTCTTTCCCCCTCACGTCTTCCTTGAAGTTGTGTGAACAGAGAAGATACAGTTAGGGCTACGTTCCGCGACCTAGTAATCCAAGTATTTTGGAATAAAATCAAAGTGGGCGAAAATTCCAGAGTGTCCAGGCTCGCAGTCATCTAAGTATCCAGATTCTCTGAGTCTGAGGGCAGCTTTCGCGGCCATACATTTTGGTGCAAGACATTCAGTGCCATAGTTGCCGTGGTTCTTAGTTCACCACAAATATTGATGCGAGCAGCCCGTTAAATATTCGTTAACACTTTTGCGAGTCTACTCTTTTCAAAAACCAAAAAATTTCGTAGAACATTAAAGGTTTAACTATGGTTTCATAAAGCCAAAGAACTATCTTTAGTGAGTGTCCCCACCTCTTGCCAATGACTCCCCTACAGCAGTACAGCCGACCGATGTTTTTTTTTGCTCTTTCTTCGATGTTGGGTTTCCACGAAAGATTCCTATCTAGTATGAGTCCTACGTACTTAACTCGTATCAGCAGGCCCAAGACGCATTTCACTCATTAATGGTAGATGTGCACCCGGAATTGTGTACTTGCTAGTGAATGAAGTTCGGTCTTGTTAGGAATTATGGAAAGGCCATTTTTGCACGATACTAAGGTCCCTCTGATTTAACTCGTATACATTTCCTTCAACTACGAGATCTACATCATCGTAGGCAACCACCTGACAAGCTTCTCCAGTAGTTTATTGACAACCATGATCCAGACCGCTTGTGGGGTGAACCTACTCACATTCCGTTGTGCCTGTGCTTTATCCCATTCTGCCAAGCTTGTGCTATTGCAGAGAAGTTCAAAGATGAGATGCTTAAGGTTCTATTTAACTCCAAACCTATTCAAAGCTATAATTACCGCTTCAGGCAAACCTTTATTGAATGCTCACTCAATATCGAGGAAGGTCCCCTCTGCAAAATCCTTGTTTCTTATGATCCTCCTAAGCCAGGAGACAAGAGTGTGTAAGGCAGTGTTCACTGACCTACCTTTGCAATAGAGATGCTGCATCCTTAATAGTCCAATGATTCGGATACTACCCCTTAAGTGCAGATCAATCAATCTTAATAACGTTTTCAACGTTGAGAAAGATTGATTGGTTCAAAATTCTTGGCCAAAATATGCGACCTCTCACCGGCCTTCGAGATGGACGCAACCCTGACCTGCCGCCAAGCCATAGGAATATATCCCAATCTAATGCAGTTCCCATAGATGAGTACCAGCCAGTTGCACGAAACGTGCCAGCTCGCTGCAGCTGCGCTAGTATAATGCCATCCGGCCCAAAGGACTTGGATGATGAGGTGACGTTTATCTAAAAGGTCCAAAAACTATCCGCAGTCGTCTCAGGTACTCCTAGAGGTACTATCCCAGTGGAAGGAATGCTCGGAAAGTGAGCGTCTAAGAGCAACTTAAGGGTATCCTGACTGCTCAGAGTCCAGCTACTATACCCATCCTTCAGATACCCAAAAGGCATAGGGTTCTTTGTGAGGATGCGCCTGAACCCCAAAGATTCATGGAAACCTTTCAACTTTTCGAAAAAGGCTCTCCATGAAGATCTCAGGGCCTTCCTTATTTCGGACTTGTAGATTGCGCGTCCTGCCTTTACAGCACCCAATCGCAAATTGCCGCACTCTTAGGCCTTTTTGAAGAGTCGTCTACAAGAAGCCTTGATTTCCGAGAGTTCCAATGTCCAGCAGAAAGGTTTCCCTCTGCCACTTGGTGATGTAATTAAACAAAGCTCTCTAGGGAAGCTTTACAAGCTGTGCTGAAGGCTTCGACACACTTATCCACCGCATCAGGAGAGAGCAAGAATTTCTCCCTTGAGGATCTAAAAGCTAGCATGCGGTATAGCTCCCAGTTCGTTTTTATGTAGTCCCTATAGGTTTTCCAAGATGGCCGCGCTGCATCAAACTGAACGTGATGTAGATGTGGTCAAAAAATAAATGGTCCATTAGAGCCCACCAATCTAAGATCCGAGGTCCCATCGCGTTTGAAGCAAGGATGAGGCCGACGACCTCCTTATTGATTGCCGTGACAAAAGTGGGAGAGTTACCTTGTTGCGTATAAAGAGATATTCATTTATAAGTAATTTGAAAAGGGTATCACCTTGCTAAGTTGTATCATATGTCGCGAGTTCACGTCGAAGCCAATGATTACTGGTTCCTCTTTTCCGCGTTCCTCCACGGCCTTTCCGTTATTGGAGCAATGTAATATTTACAATCATAGAGTTAACTTCTGCATTGTTCAACCCCTTGAGACGTGTTTGGCTAAGGAAAGAGCAAACGTTTATTCAAAGGAGTGGATTTTCGGTTTACGGTGCTTCACAAAAACAGAAATGATAAAATTTTATTAAAAGGGTTAACTGAAGGCAGCCAAAATGCAAGACTGCAAGAATTAAATTAAGCCTAAATCGCAAGAAAACGTTTAACACCAACGAAAGATTTTATTCGGTTATTCCAACATACCTGGAGATCGCTTCCTGTGGAATATGCGGAAGATATAGTTGCAAGTTGCTATTGGAGATTGGTGCAAGTGGTGAATAAACGTCAACTATAACAACACAATGTATTTGCTATAATTTTTCATAAACACTACCTATACTTTAAAAAACGAAAACGTTGTTTTTTTAACGCTCATATTCAGTTTGTTCAGTTTTGTCAAATCTTTTTTGTTTATTGAATAAGAGTTAAATTATTTTGAATTTCGTTATATACAATGGGTTTCGCGACGAAGTTTGAGTGCCAAAATTTTTGTACTTAATATACATATGCATATATATATATATATTTTTTTTTTTAAATTTCGTTTTCTGCCTTTGCTTTTAAATAAGTGATCCTCTTTTGCTTTATTAGCCCAGTGGTATCGCTGGAAAATTGCAAGTATGTAAAACTTCACGTAGTTACCATTTTTTAAGCAAAGAGGCAGGGACTGTACTTAGATTTTGTTCATTTATATATATTATCGACTGTCTTACGATTGTTAAGATTAGTTAGATGTTTTTGTAATTAACGGTGTACGAAATACCGTCAAACTGTAAACTCAACATTCATACATATGCGCATCAACTTTCTATATTTTAAAATTTAAATGGAACGAACACACATTATTTCCGCCAAGGGTAATTGGGGTAGTAGTTTATTTCTCTTTTCTGTCTTGGTTTTTGTCGACCTGTTATTTTTCCAGCGTTTGCCCTGCTGCTTGGTGTCCTCCTCCCTCGTTGTTTGTTGGTGAATTCTCCTTTGCCTGTACATATGTTTATTGTTTTTGAGATTGTTTAGTTATTTTATATTGCATTGCGTTTTTGATTTTTGTGTTTTAAATAGTTTGTTGAACTTATTTTGTGTTATACCCGCCCTGTTTGTTGTGGTTTGCTAATATTTAACCGCTTTTAGAATATATGTAGCTATGTAATTTTGTGTAGATTTATGGTTTTTCCAGAATCTTTTGTGAACTAATTTGTATATTCATATACACTGTACGTTTTTATGTATTATAATACAATAATATTCTCCTCAGATTTTATTTTGGTTTTTTTTTTGTACTAGTCACATCACCTATTTGTACATTTTAATTTTTCGTATTTGTATCTTTTATAAATGTATGTGTACAAGTATATGTAGATTACAATTTTTAGCTTAGTTTTATCTTTTTCACATGAGCTAGTTTTGTTTTCACCTTATAAACTTATAAAATTTATTTCTCTTAAATAATATTAAGAAAGAATATTTTTTTTTGAAAATTAATGTCTCACACTACACACTGCGCGATAAAAAACTGCGTTGGATGGTTTCCGGATAACCGCATCTTTGCGTAAACGAATATCGAGTAGCGCGGGTCAAACCCCCTGGTTCACGGGTGAAAGCGGATAGAAACCCGTCCCAGTCGGGTGAATCCTTTGATAATTGGGCGGTAAATATACGTGGGTTGGATTTTGTTGTTGTAACGGTTATCTAATCCTCCTTGGGTTGTTAGGTTTAGTTTGGTTGTCATCGTAGTCATCTAAAGGGAGGCCCAAGAAACGAGCTGTTTCGACGGGTTCGGTCCATGGAGAGTAACGTGTTAGATGAATGGGGTTCGTTGGGCATGCAAAGAGGTGGTGAGTGTCATGCGGAGACACATTGCATGTTGGACATATATTTGGTATGTCGTGGTAGATTCTGGATAGGTAGGAGTTTAACCTGCTACAGTATCTAGAACGAAGTTGCGCACGGGTGACTTTAGATTCTCGTGGCAACTGAGCTCTTTGTCTGCGATGGGTGGTAATTTGACTCCAAGTATGCCTTCACTGAAAGGGTTCGGTGAAGATATTAATAGCTTGACTGCAGTCGTGGTTTCTACGAAAACATCCCAACAGAAACTGCTTGGAGACGAGCTCGTTTTGTTCCTTAACCGGAAGCATACGTTTCTCGCTGTCGACTAGAGACATCAAGAGG